TTGAGTTAAGATATATGAATTTTTTTAATGTGTATAAAAATTAAAATATAATATAAGCTTTATAAAGAATTAATATGTAATAAATATATTTTTAAAATTAATTAATTAAAATTAATGTATATGTTTTATATAAATTAATTATAAAAAATTATAATTAGTCAACTCTTAAGTTGTATTATATGTGAAGATACCCATTTTATGTGAATCAAAAAAGAAAAAAAAATCCCATTTTATAATACAAGACGTGTGTAGCTTGATGTAATTATTGACGTGTCTTGGTTGAAAAAGTAAACTAATTAATTAGTAGGAGTAGTGCTCCATTAAGGAATCTTGTTCTGGTTGGTTACAGGGGCGGTGTCCACTGCAGGTGGTGAGCGGTTGTTCTCTGGCTGCAGAAACCGACGTTAACTGATTCCATCTCGATTTTCCAATTTCCAGTGCCCTACCTTCCTTCCTTCAATTCCCTTCTCTTTGTCAATTTCTTCTCCGACAATTGAATCTCCCTTTCCTCTCCTCTCCTCTTTTCATCATAAATGCCCGCTTCCATCCTTTGATCCTTAATTCGTCGGCAGTGAGTTCCCAACAGGGATTTATGTCTGACCCTGATAGGGAGGTATTGGAGGTTGGTCACAGTCACAGAGGTGCAGATGGCGGTGGTGTGATATGAAGAGAAAAATAAATAAGCTGAGCTGTGCAGGACAGATGGCATCTTTTAATTCCCTTTTTGCATTTTTTCCGTTAGGCTATTTTGTCTTTTGGTCAGTATATGTATGCTGTGATTCCTCATTGTGGGAATGAGAATATTCTGGTTTTTCTTCATCCTTAAACCTCTGTATCCTCTCATTTCTTTCTCTGTAATCCAGATCTATATTGAGGAATCCATATCGAGGATCTTTCTTTCTCCTATAGATCTTCCTTACTGTTTTCTCATTTGCATTTCTTGGTATCATGGTGACGATGACCATGATCGAGAATCTGGAACTAGTGGGACCCAGATCAGGAAGAAGAAGCAAAGGGAATATGATGGGTTTAGGAAGAATTTCACTAAAGCAAAGCAGATGTTCTACCGGAAGAAGTCAACTTCTTCAAACAATGGCGATAGAGGTTCCGATTCCAGTTGCTTTTGTTTCAGAGGCCAATCCTGTACATTGGAATCGAGCAATACAAGCGATCCCAACGACCCCAACTTGTTCAGCTATGACATGCTCAAAACTCTGATT